ACACACACACACACACGTAGGGGAACCAACGTGGCGGAGCGCAGAGTCAACAGGAAAATGGCTTTGGTGTGTGTGTGTGCAGCTGGACTGAGGCTCACTACCACACTTCATCCCTGCTGGTATTGTTGTGCGACTACAAGAAAAGATATTAAGAACTGTATTGCTCTACAGCGGTCATTTGTTACTTTGTGTGCATATCTGGTATTTTTATGCTACATTGTAAATGATGTTAAATGTAACACAGTATTACATTTTGCAATTGTTTCAACAACATTACAGTGCAGCTTGCAAAAAAAAAAAAAAAAGTTGAGAATATGTCACAATTCACTTGCAGCTCAAATGGTTTTAAGCCCTTGTGATAAAGTTCTATTGAGACATTTTAGTCAGCTGATGAGCAGCACTGTGATCATGTTGTTGGGAAATCAAACAGGGAATACAAAGAAGCACAAATATACAGGCTTTATACAGTATATTGCTTTAGAAAAGCCTGGGATCAAGTCCTGGCTCGCCCCAAAACTTGGCACCAGCGGTTCATTCAGCTCCATTACCAAAACCATCAAAACAACCATTCATTGAGACAAATTTCCAAACAAGGTTCTGGCTCTAAGGGGTTGACTTTCAAACCACAGTGAAATGAACTGGCTGTCTTAAGTGTAGCAATAACCCTGTTACATCAGAAACAAAGGTCATCAGCAGGACAAACCCTCCTTATTAAATTATTTTAGCAAAGACACTGACCACCGGTATTTATCAAGGACCTCAGAAAAGTTAAAAATACTATACAAAACACAGCAAAAATAAGTCGTATATAACATTCAATATTCCAGTAACACTATTGGATGTAAAATACCATAAAGTACAACAAGGTTGAAACTACATTTATATTTATGATTTTTTTGTTTTTTTACTGCAATAACATAATTACAGTAGGTTTACACATGTACAGAGTCATTTTAATGATTTAAAAGTAATTCATCTTTTTAATACAACAATGAAGAACTGAAAAAATAACTGTACAGAACTCTATTTTGGACATTGATGTTTAAATGTTACAGAAGCACTTGTGGTAGTTTGCATGATGATGGTTAAGCATTCAAGACCACTCGTTTAAGCTGTAGACAGACCTGAAGACTGTTAAAATCCTAAAATGATGAGACACTTAACTGACCTCCACCAATATACACAATTGTAATTGTAGTAATATGAATATATTTGTATATTGTGTTTACACTCTTAATGAGTGGTAGACAATGATTACAGCTGTCAATATCCCGCAAAAACAAAATGTCGACATTCTTGATGATTTATTTACACTTTATCACAATTTTAAACTATTAGCTATTGTTGGATGTATGTGGGCAAACGGGACAATATACTCCGCAGGAAGAAGTTAAACTTTGGAAGAGCCTATTGTGACTGGCTTATAAAAGTACATCTTATAAAAGTAATCTTCTGCAGACCTTTGTTCTTGGCTCCTATTAAAATCTCATTGCTGGTTGGATAATGAGGTTGATGACAGCAGCAAGACCGTACATTCAATGTGCCGCCAAAAGAACCAAAAACATTGACCTATAAGCAGCTAAAAGCGAAAGAGAACTGCTGAGTTGAGTGTTAATTCTCAGCTAAGTAACTCTCTCATTACAGGGAATCTTTTTTTTTCAAGGTAATGTCAATGCACCACTTACTGCAGGATTAACTGAACCTAGAATATTAAATATTGACAACTTGATCGAACTTGTTGTTGTTGGGCATTATGTCCAGCCCCATAGATATTACCACTGTGTTAGCCACTATATGTATCCACCCTCTCAGAGAATGACAGATGTAATTAGCTAATTCGTTCCCTAAAGCTTTAGGGAAGGTAACTATTAACTTGCAAACTGATGCTGAGGTTTCATTTCATCCCAAGATGAAGGAGTTTCCTGTATGGTCCTGGTCCACCCCACAGGCCCCTGACACAAGAAAAATAAAGAACATTCATAAAATGTGGTGAAAGGTGTGGTACAATTCCTTACTACCAACTATTAACATGTTTTTAATTAACTATACATACCTTAGAAGCCCATGCCAGTAAAGGTGAGGCATCACATCAGCCTTCATGTAGTACATGAGTCTTCTTTCTTTGGCTTGGTTGATGGGGAATGTTTCCAGTGGTTGTCCATTGTAGTCAAACTCTGCCAAAACTACTGTGTTGTAGCTTGTTACCAACGGACATGAGGTGTAACCATCATACTGTGAACAAGGAGATTACAGGTTATGTATTTGCATCTTTTTCAACAGCGGTACTTCCAACAGAGAAGTTATAACATTCTGCAAAATCAAAAAGATGAGTCATATTTCATGTTTATGCATCATTTACCGTCTTATCCGGCTTCTCATTTTTCAGTACTTTGCTGATGGTTCTGTTTAAGATGGCAGATTGTGCAGCTGAGAATGAGGGGAAAAAAGCCTTTTTAATAAATGTGTGAATTCTCTTTGTAGGAATCAAGAAGACTAATGCTGTGTCCCAAATCCATAATCCATAATAATTCTACACAATATGTATTGAATATTGTCACTTCAGGTTAAACTTCACCTATTATAATGTATAAGTAAAGTATAAAAGATGTTTTTCTTATGATGGATTACCTTCTGTTTTTTTGTCAGTTTCATCAACATACACATTTTATTGACATTTTTCCAGCGGTAAGAAAGCGTTTAAGAGCTCTCCTCCATTTCTTTCCAATAATGCGGAGAATTCAACTAGCACTCACAAGACTTGCTGTTTAGTCTGCCATGCCAACGCTTAAGTACACAACTTAAAATTGTCACTTTCCGAGTGTAACATTTATATATACCAAAACCTTGCTCTCAGAATTACGTTGTGAATTAAAGCATGATAGATCCACACCCGATGATGTGGACTCCGATAAGGGTTTTCTTCTCTCGACTCGTTCCGATTAAAGGTTTTGTTTGTGTGAAGCACAGTCTCGGAACAGCGTGGAAAACTCTGAGTCTGATAAATCTTACCTGTTGGGTTTATTGCATTCACAATGGGCTTCTGAATTTGCCTTGTCTGACCAGCATCGAGCTGAGAGTTTTCTTGGTCTTCCAGATCTTATCTTTTTGTAGCCTTCTCCTGCATTGTGGGCATCAATGGGCATCAATAACTTACACAGTTGCTTAGCTCAGCAAAGGGCCACAGGTCACATCAAGGACTCGGCCCTGGTACATGGGGCTGAGCTATCCGGGCCCCCCAGAGTTCACTGCTTTGAACTGCTGTGTGATCCAGAATGGATCAACCAAACACCAAAGGGGGCTTGGGGTGATATAGCTAGCCTTAGCATTGCCTTAGCACCCCCAAGAAATATCTGTGGCTTATTTATATTTTTGAATTTTTAAGGTGTGAATACTATAATTCATAATTTAAAAATTAATAAATACATAAATAAAACAAACCAATGATTGATTCAGCCAACAGGTGCAACACGCATTCAACTTTTGACCTTGCGTCCACTTCTTGTTAGCCAGAGTGCATGCATTTGGTGGATGATGCACGAAATATGAAATATCTCTCTGCAAAGCTTATTCATATAATTTTAGGTCTATGGTACTGAGTACTGTTGATTCATTAGTTGAAGTGATCTCAGAATCTGACACTGAAATGTGCACTGTCCATGGCATAATTGGGTAACTTTCATTCAGTGGTGTGATTTTTTTGGCAGGCTTGTGAACCTTATACATTTATCCCTTGAGCTGAATATTTTGCCTTGTTGAGCACCCTCACTGAAAAGCCAAGCAACCCCATAGCACCAGCAGAAGACCTGGATGCTTGAAGGCGAGCAGTATTCAGTTGGGCCAAATCTTCAACCCTACCGCTAGATGCAGCTAAATCCTACACACTGGTGAATGTGAATGCAGCATTAATGTTAGCACATTAGTGAAGTCTAGCATGTTCACATGTTTACAATGAATGTTAAATTGCTTACCCTAGAATGTTAAAACACAACATTAGCTTTAAAATACAGTTGAGATTGACAGAAATTGAGTCATTGGAGGCATTGTGCCATGAAATGCTGGAACAAATAAAGAACAGTGGCTCAATCATAAAAAAAAGAATCCTGTTTTGTTATTTATGTGAACGAGGATATATCTTGAGACACAATACCAATTGCAGAAGCAATTCTGACAATAAAGGGAACTCAAATCAAAGTCTAAGTCCTGTGGAGATCATGAACATCTGTGTCACATGTTACAGTTATTCTCTCAGTTATTGTTACGGTATCATTTGTTTTAAGAACAAACACATGGGCTGACATTGTCAACCCTATAGCTTCTAATGTGGCTAAAAACATCAACATCCACCGCATTGGTGGCGAAAAAATAGCATTTAGCATGACATACCTTGTATGAATTCACTGAATATAAACATGATGCGCTTGATAAGGTTAAGTCCTTTCCTGCAGTTAGACAGGAAGTGATAAGTAGTGGTTTACAACCTGAGCCAAGTTGCCAGGAACATCGCATCATTTAAATCACAAGAAATGGCACAAATACAGGAATTTTAAATTAGGTAGGCACAGAGGGTGAAACTCTTTCACCGTGTGTTTATGTGAAGTGCAAAACATTTCTTTAACAAATGTAATGGTGCAAGCAAACACAAAAGGTAAACTGAGATACTGATACAATCCGGGAGATACTACTGAGAACTTAAGTGTCCCTAAATTACAAGCTTCATAGGGTGTGGTGTACGTTTTTATAGCTTTGTGTACATAGGTTATTGTGCAATACACTTACTGAGGAAAGTAGTTAACGAGAGATAAAACAGTATGAACTGTATGCAGCAACAAAGTGCTTTCCAGTATTGCATTGAGCAATGTTCAAACTAATAACGCAACAATCACTTACCGACAGCAGCCCCCGTTTTGGCTGTGGGAAGGTTGGTACAGTCTCCAATCCCAAACACATTTGGATACCTCTTGTGTTGGAGGTTGTCTTTGTTGACATCCAACCAGCCAGCCTCATCTGCCAGTGGACTGCCTTTAACCACCAAGTTAGGACCCATTGGTGGTGTGACATGAAGCATTTCATACTAATTTAAAAAAACAAACAGCAAAATTGAAAGGTTATTCACTGGAGTTTTTAGGATTTAAAGTCCATTGTACAAAGCAGCCAATACTACTGTGTGAAGGTATCGTTGAAGTACAGTAATAGTTACCTCAAACACTTTGGTTTCGCCTGGTTTGTCAAGATTTTCAAACACAGCTTCTTGCTTGTCCGCCCGCACTTCGATCAGGTTTTGCCTCAGGTTGACTTGTAGGTCACGCTTTCTCACAATGTCCCACAATGTGTCAGCATATTTCTTTATCCCAAAGAGCACAGGGAGCGATGTGTTGTATATTATGTTGGCCTTTTCCCTCTTTCCTGTCTTGGATAAAAACATAAAAACATTTTCATTTAATTTGTAAAACCACACTTGATATTTTCAAAATGTATTATTTTATCGTTACATTACAAAAATAACCTTTCTGAGATAGGCGTCCGATAGGTACATGATCTTCTGTGGAGCCCCAGCACATTTCACAGGAGTATTTGGGAAAGTGAACACAGCGTTGCCCTCTTTGAAAGTCTGCAGTGCTTTCCATGTTTTCTCCACAGTTTCGACTGAGTAGTTTGACCCAATCTTTGGATGTTCAAATCCTTCTGGCAGTCCTTTGATCTACACATAAGAGGATGTACATTTCCAGGGATTTAATTGAATTTATACACGACGGCAAAAGTTTACTAGGTAAAGTTGAATGAACAAAGCCTCACTTCACCTTCTCATAATGGAGTTGTAAACCAAGCGCCACAATCAGATACTCATAGGAGATCTGTAATGTGAAAGAAAGTCTTAGTAAGGCTGGATGAACACAGATCATTACATCATCGATCGTAGAGGACACATTATTAAACGTACTACAGGAAGTTTTAACTGGTTATGAAAGAGTCTCAATTTAACAATGATGCCTCTATAATGAGTTACATAAGACCATCAGTGAGATTGGCTTTTTCTATGTAGTTATTCTTAATGCCTGCCACTGGGTTAATTTGGTAAGATTCCCATTGAAATCAATGAAACGTGGTGGTAGAAAAACAACCACTTTTATCCACAGTGGCCGCCAGAAAAAGTTAAAGTGAGTAGGATTTAGTGGATCTAATCTAGAGGTAAGAAAGGCGATTATGCACTAATAACACATCTGACACACTGGATCTTAAAGCAATATTATAACTTCAATATGCAAACAGTCATATAACAGTAACCTAAAGCAAACATACTTCAGTCCCATCGTCAGTGCGGACAGTATTTTGGTCTGGGTTTATTTCCTGAACTTTAGATTTCACCAACTGTACTCCAGACGGCATAACACTTGCGGTGGAACGGCCCGATGAGGCTACAGTTTTTGCGCCAGCACCAACCAGGGTCCATATTGGCTGATAGTAGTGCATCTGAAAAAACAGAAACAGAAGAGTTTAGCCAGCTTTAAATGAGAAAGAGAGACAATACTGTTATGTTTCTGATGGACTGAATCACAAAAATGTAAACATAAATTCACAGCTGAATGAACTTTTAATAATTTGTACTTTGCATTATGTATCACTGATACACAAAGAGAGGTATAGCAAAAATAATCATAATCTACTGGATCCTTGCCTCGCTGGGCTCCACAACGGCCACATTCTCAGCTCCCAGCATCCTCTTCATGCGTGCACTCATTGCAATTCCCCCACTTCCTCCTCCGAGCACAAGCATTTTGTAATGCTGTTTAGCAGAGGCCCGGCTGCTCGTGTGAAGATGAGAGACAGCCATGCCTGTGGGGTGGCACTGCCTCAGACGACGCAGTGCAGCCATTCTGTGTCTTAACAAGAAGGACAAATCATCTGGGTTAGCAACAATGCCATTATACTGCCTGGGAGTCACAATACAAACATCTAAAGTCAACAACTTGCACTTCCCATTTTGCTGTTTCACATTTACATATTGACTATCAGAGGCTGAAAGTACTTACTTTTACTGTAATGGTGAATGTAGGGGGGTTTCAGAGTAAGATTACTTATCTGAGCATTTTTTATTTAGTATTTAAACACCTTTTTTTCTGCCTCTCCAATACACTAATGACATCATGAAAGTGGTTGTGGCTTTACCACCATAGCTATTGTCTGGGCCGTCCCAGATACATTGTCAAGCCAAAACACACACACAATAATAATAATTACAGGAGTAAATTCAGAACAGTAAACACTTCTTTAAGGTGACTTATAGTGACAAGTTAAAAATGTAACATATTGAGGTGACCTGCTTTTAACTTGACCGAGAGGTTCAGCCTTTGACACATACTTTACAGTGTAAGCCCTATAGCAGAAGCACAAATAACTAACACACAATGACAACGTTATAGCCAGGTTACTTTTTATTTGTTCACATTATTCTCCTGTGAAATCTAACCGGAGCTCAACCTTTGCTGCTGCATGCTGCGTAACGACTCCATAACAACCATTCCTGTGCATGCGTAGACCTGACAAAAAGACACAGTTTCGCACCGCAACGTCGAGAAAGACAGACTTGTAACGTCGCTTACCTTGACCAGCACTGCTGTCAAGCGCTTCTGCAGTCAGTTCAGACACAATTCCCCACGGACAATTCAAGGAAGCACTACTAGCAGAACCTGTATGAGCCGGGCACTTACCCGACGTGAACCCGCAGTCGCCACCCTCACCAGGACCGACTGGTGCCCGCCTCCTCCTCCGTTCGACCAATCAGAATCGAGCATTTCGTAACTCCGAGTTTAACTTCGTATTGCGAAAACTTTATGTAGCCTAATGAGAGAGGGGGTCATCTTCAGTGTTTTTATGTTACTGGCAGTGGTGTAAGGAGTATCCACTTATTATACTGCATTGGGAGTATAAAAAGGCACTCTGTATCGTTTATTAGTATCTTGATTTTTTTTTCCTAGGATGGCCAAGGCATGACACGGTTGTCCAGTTTTCATGAATGGATGGAGTAAGGAATACTTGATTCAAAATGCATAATTTAATATAGGCCAGTATAACAATACACGTGGGCCATAAGTAAAGAGTATACCTACTTTTTAGTTATAAGTTGTTGAAAAGTGGAGAATCTGCTTTTCTGGGACAAATTTGCATGTGGCCTTAATGGACTTAGACGTGTTTGGATGTTAATCGGTCCTGTCTGCATGTCAGTCGGACAGCACGTAGTCGTCCTGGAATAAACTTTAAAGCATGTTTCCAAAATAAACTTGAACTTGTAGTTGCCTCCCTTTGTCTCTAATCTTGGCTAATAGTAATACTGACGGTTGCTGCAAGTAGGAATGTCCGATTTTCCAACACTTTAGTTAAATTCCAGAAAAAGCAGCAAACTGCAATATATTCTGTGTCTATGATTGTAAGCATCAAAAAGATACGTTAATCAGCAACAGACTACAGATGCAGTATATGTTTATGGCTTTTTCTGCACATTTCCGGACGGACATCACGTGTAGGTAGCAGGTTTGAGATCCTTATTATTAGTGTATTCAATATCTAGAAACCTTTACACAAGCTACAACAAAACCATCATCATCATGACTTTGCTTAACTGTAGGTCTATTCATCAAGCTGGTTTGACTTGTTCAGATTTTGTTTACATATAGCCCAGTGTCCTGATGATTTCATAAATAGGTCTGTAAAGAAGTAGGTGCTTCCAGTTTCTACTACACACACAATGCAGCGCGAGAATAAGCTGCTGTGCCATAAAGAATAAACAGTCATGTCCTTTGGAGCAGTTTAATCCCACTGTAATGAGACCATCAGGTGGTTTATATTCCCTACACAGGCCCAGCCTCACCCTCTGCACACCTGTTTATGTGTTACACAGAAAAGAGACACTAGTTCTATTTTGAGCTGAACATTTTGGTTATATCCTAAATTGGAAAAAGAAAAGGCATGACATGAGATTAGTGGTGGTTGGCTGGCAGTTACAGGTAGTTTTTACATTTAGAAATTACTTTTAGTTCACATAGTATGTTAATCTTCTTGACCAAAATGTATTAACACAGTAATTTGGTTCTTTTGAAAGGTGGATACTGTGTTCAAAGACGCTCGCAGAAAGAAAACTGTATGTGTGACCATTCTGACAGAAACACAAACAGAGATATACTCTGACCTACATTGTTATCTGGTTTATGAAATCTAACAAGGATGACTAGGCAGCTATAAAGCTGATAAAATGATTGGGCAAGAAGCCCAATGCCAATTTAGTTTACAGCTTCTGGAAGTATTACCTGTTATAAATATGAATTAAGTCTGGGTCTTCGTGCCTGTTTGATTGAGGGACCACAATCGTGGCACTGATAATGCGTGCAGGATACATAAACGGCCCAACCCTGTCTCCTAGAAATTATATTTATATTATTTAAGGCTCCATAAAGGATGACTATATCACTGGTTATTAACAAACAGTCTACTTCAATTATCAGTTTGACCTAACATCAGGAATAGCTTAAAAGATAAAGCTGTGTAAGTACTATCCAACTGGGAAATTGAGTTGACGATTGATACAATAATATGAATGAAAAGAAAGAAACAATCAAACAGACATAAAAATAACTAAGTTCCTACCCACAGATTGTAGCATCTACCCCTCAAAGAAAAAATAGCACGTTCTTTACCTGGCCTGAAACATACAGTAAGTTTGTGAAACTGACAAAACAGATGTGTTTGAACTGATACGATACACAAACATTTCCTCCCTCTTGTCTGTCTGAAATGTAATGAAACTGTGCCCGAGGATTATGACTGTAGATGACATCTTGTTTCTCAAATCAGCTTCTCCAAGCTCCAAACAGTACAGTGTTGTTGACCTTTGTCCTTTTCCCCATCTTAAATATGGAATTTGCCAAGTGGTTGCCAGGGATCAGCTTGCAAAGTTTATATCTGCAGCCGCACGCATGTACATTGTCAGATACAGTGCAAATCACAGTATGGTTCTGGGTACAGTGTGAATATTTGATTATTAGACTTCCATTAACAACATTTTTCTAATACTGGATTTAATAAGTGTACATTTCACACTAGAATATACATTCAGCTCATTTTCATCTAGTTAGATCACCATGTGATAGTCGGTGACCGTCAAGCATATCTGTTTGTTGAACATTATTTCCTCATTATAGGGCTGCAAATCACAAGCTAATATCAAATCCTGATTCAGACACTGAGAGAGATATGTCTATTTATTGTTTGATTATTTGCTAAAAAAACTACATACACAGTGTTTTTCTACACAAGACAACTGTACAGGAGTGTTGATTCAACTTTATGGTCTTCTTGGAGGTTGTAGTTTGCCGTGCTTTTGTATTTTATTGCATATACTAAGAGTTGTTTCTAATATTTTGTGCACCCCTTTAATATCAATAAGGGTAGATGGTAAATATTCATTTTAGTTAGGTGTCCCTAATAAACTGGCAACTAAGTGTATGTGCTCGCCATGTTCAATCACAGTGATAGATACTTAAGGAAACATTATATAAAGTGACATCCAATCTGATACCATTGTCACTTAATATAAGTGATCATTAATCTACCTACCTTGAGTCAGACGTAATAATCTCAATAATTCAGATATATACTTCCATCAGTTGGTTTATTTTATCCGGCTTTTAGTTTGAGGCTTCATTTCACCTGCTTCACTCCAGACGGCAGCAGCAACACAAGCAGACCAACAGCACCAACCAGTGTCAATACAAATACTGACAACAAAGAATTATTATTTTTATATTAAAGGCATGAGTTAATCTCTGCTGTGTGCCCTGGCCTTTAAGGACACCAACTGAAGGCGCTATAATAAAAAAATGTATGTAAAAAACATTATATGACACCGTCTTCCCTTTTCTGTCTGATATCTAACATCAGTCATACAGTAAATCAGTCAACAAATCTAAATGCTCTACTACAAAAACAGTACAAAACACTACTAAAATGACACATGAAATGAATACATAAAAAAAAAGAAGCCTGTGGAGAGATACTGATCAAATCTAACAGTTTGTTTCCTCATTTAACTGAATCAGAGGCAGCAGTAGTTCAGAGTGCGTTGTGTTTTGGCTCCTTTGGGGGGCGGTATAGTAACATTTTAAACCAAAACACCTGAGCCAGGACGCACAGTTTTTCACAATGATTGATTTAAATCATGCTTTTAGGGTCCTAATTTAGTTAGATTGTTTGTTTGTGTACATTCAACTACAATTAAAAGGGATCCTCAGTAGCTAATTAGAGGCCAAAATGCTTGGAGGAAGAATCAGCAAGTGTCTGATTGTGTTTAAATATCTGTAGGGAAATTTGTTTTTTCACATGGAGAGAAAGAGAGAAAGAAAGAGAGACAGAGAGAGAGAGAGAGAGAGAGAGAGAGAGATGCGATTGCAGCACACACACACACCCACACACACACACGCCCGCATCTCCCAGATGAAGAAGGGTCCTCCAGCTTCAGCTCCGCGTCGTGAGTCGGTGAGTTGTTTCTCACTCCTGCCTGCACCATTTCCACAGCCTCCTCCACCGCCCGAAGTCTTCCTCTTCTTACTCACCACAGCAGCAGCTGAACAGGCTTTGCGATTCAGTTACATGATGAGTTCATCCATGTCTGGTGATTTTTATACAGGAGGAGGAGGATAAATCTGCGGAATGTGGTGCTTGGAAATAAATGATCGCCACTGGAATGACAGGATACATGGAGACAACACGAGACTGCGCCTGTGACAAACTTGTGCAAGGTAAAAAACACAATTTATACTATAGACAAACATTAAGAAAACCTCCCCTATAGGCTACTGTATTATGGAACTACACACCTTACCTTAGGGCGCTGTATTGCTCACCTGGGATCTTTTGCTAAGGAGACACAGTTCAGTTCTGCTTACACATTAGGAGTTTAATTAAAGTTGCTTGTCTGAACAGAAAAGAAACAAGACACAACTTTGCTTTGTGTGTTGCCTCAGATGTTCACACCAGGGTGCATGTATTACACACACTGACTCAATCTTTATATTCACACCCTGCACTGGAAAAGGCCTGCTCCCTCTGCAAAATGCTCAGCTCCACACATTATAGTGTAGGTGGTTCTTCCTGTGGTGGATGTAAGTGGCATTTTACTATTGTAGTTAGTTGACATGGAGCTATATTTCAAACTATAACTGCGTCAAATCTTTATGGGCTCATCATACAGTTTGTTTTGTATGTAAAATATAGTAGTAGTAGAAGTATAAAGTGGCATGAAATTTAAATATTTAAGAAAAGTGCATGGTATTTATACAGTACCTGAATTAATGTCATTATTACTTCCACTTCTTATTTCTACTCATGTCATTTAGGGAAACCCCCGGGAGGTCCCCGGAGAAGATGGCATTCTGGAGGAGAAATACTCACATTGGTAAGAATTAATTTTTTTCTAATCTTAAACGATGTAACAACAGGAAGAATTAATTTATTGTGGAGGGTAACCGGTTGCAGGTTTGAGGTGTATAAATAATCCTGTCACTGCAGTGCACATCACACACATGTTATTCATGTGTGTGATGTGCATTTGTAACATCCTGTAATCAGTATCTGCCTCACACACACACACACACACACACTGAGGTGACCTTGTGGTTGGCAGCAACAGACTCAGATTTACATTTTTACAATCGTATTTAAATTCCTTAGCAATATATATTTTTAAATTTCCTCAAAAGAAGTGAGAGGGAACTTCAGATAGAGTTATTATGTTCATTGTTTTGGCAAGAAACATTTCCTGTAATGAAACTGATCATTTAAAAGCTTCCTGTGTCATTGGACTCTAGAGGAATATGGTCTGAAATATTGCCTGAAGCATCTGCGAATCATTTCACTGTATGATTTTACTGCTCAGACTCACAGGCAAGAGTCTGCTGAAATAAAAAGCTCCTTCAGAAATAAGTCTGTTAAAAAACAGGTAACTTTGAAACAATATTGCATATACACATCTTCTAATTAAATGGTTAAGTAGACCAAAGCCTTTGAACAACAACAAAAGCCTTTCTTAATAATTAACCTTCGTAGTAACCGATAGTAGGACAAGGCCAGTCTGTTGTGTGAGAAGGTCTATCCTGTTGCAGCTCTGTGCATGCGTGTCATGCATAATTCAACAATGATTTAACCTCATTTGGAAACAACAGATCTAGCAGAGTGCTCCTTCAGGCATTGCTCTGTGTTGAAAGTTTAGAGTTTTGATAAATGGTTTCCTCATGTTGCAGGTGACTAGTATTCTTTGGGACGTGTGTGAGTGAATATATTACCGGTTAAGACCGTTTAAAAACCATGACTGAGCATGATGATGAACCTCAATCCATCATGTTGACGTATGAGATGAATACCAAAGATGTAATTGCGGATAAAGTCTTAATTTCTTCGTAAAAAGGGTCAGGCTCAGACAGAGTCCACATGCCACAGACACTGTTATAGCTGTAGGCTGTATTATCAAACCCATGAAGTAGACTCACTCAAAGAGACGTTTAAAGCCTCCTGTTATAAATCTTAGCAAATTTAAAGCACGAAGATTGATACCACCCTCATGTCTGTCCACTGAATATGAAGCTACAGTCAGGAGACGTGAGCTTGGCTTGGCCTAAAGACTTGAAACGGAGGGAAAGAACTTGCCTGGCCAGAACCTCTAAAGCCAGGTTGCCAGGCAACCAGAAGAACCTCAGGAAGTTATGAAATAGTCGATCTGTGAAACCACAACTTGTCGTTTTTATTTGACTTAACAAATGTGATATATTGTGATAATAAGTGAGCTTTGTGCTGGTAAGTGGATTTCTCAGGACACAGCCGGTTTTCATGCTAAACTAAGCTTACTGTAGCTTCATATTTACAGTACAGACATCAGAGGGGTTCAATCTTGTTATCTAAATCTTTGCAAGAAAGCTAATAACAACAATAACAATAACAATAATAATAATTTTAAAAAGCCTGCATTTCAAACTGGAGGTTTGGAGAGAAGTGAGCATTTAGGAGGGAGAGAGGTCTGTCAAGTTGCATATTGGAAATGTAAGATCCAGTGTTTTAGAGCTTGATCCATATTAGGGACTAAAAGTCAAGATACCCTGGCCTCTACTGCTTCAATGCTGCTCGACCATTACATTTTAAATCTGTCTCTTGTGAGTCCACTCACTTTATGAAAGTGCAGCACAAGATTGTTGGGATTCCTGTTAAAAAATGTAGGAAATGGGGTGATAACCTTTGTCTGAAGTAATAAGTAGCCTAACGAAGAGGGAGACATTGAAATTGTAACATCAAGTGAATTGAGACAGTCAGTATCACATTGTGAAATTAAAAAAGATTGTGGACTGTGTTGTTGTTCGAATGAAGTTTCGACATCAGGTAGGTAGTCAAAACACGCCACCTAAACCAAAAGGGCAAAACAGGCAGGCAAGAAGTATAAAAGGCAGGTAATAGCAGGCTGGAACGAGAGGACAAAAGACTGGCCCGCTACGCTTTGATGGAACAATAGACGATCTGGCAGAAAACAAAAGGGGAAGTATTATAGGGAGCCAATGAGAGAATTGGGAGCAGTTGTGCAGGTGGGTGTGGAGGTCAGGTGATGTGGGAACACGGGAATATACTGAGCACTATACTGCAGAAAGGGAATGACAGGAGATATCAGTGACTGGCAGACAACAACAAGGCAAAAAGGTTCATAACTACGGTGGCCTTGAAGTGCAAATCACAACAGCAAATTGTGTTTTTTTTATTTGTTTTGTTATTTGTTGTTGTGTTTTTCTGTTTGCCATTATCTTTTATACTTCAAGGCCACCGTACATAAAAAAATTTTGTCTTTTGAATTCATAAATATTAACATAACAATCTCCTCAGTTTCTCAGTATAATATTTGCATACACTATAAGATGTATGTGGTTGTGCCCATCTGTTAAGGAAAAGATGGAGCTTCATGTCATCTTGCATATGAAAATTAAAATTCAACCTCCATTGTTGAGACTTTCTGAGGGCTCTGACTTCACCCCATGATAGTATTTTAATAGCTAAGGTTTGATGAGGCCTTCAACTTCAACTTTATAGCCATTTTGTATAAGCTTCACTCAGTGGAAAGTCTCATTTTAAAATTAGATGGCGAATTCATGATACCTGAGTAAACTTGGGTGAGATCTTGACATAGAACAGAATTAAACCAAATGAAATATTGTTATGCCTAAATGTATTGATACCTAGATTGTTCTTGTATAAATAACTGATGAATGCTGCACCACTGTGCTGGTGTTTTTTTCCTTTAAGTTTATGGAGTTGTATAGTTCAAGGGTGAAGATGGCAGCAAGTCACAGACCTAAGTGAAGAGAGTATGTGTGTACAAGTAGGAATTAAGTTTTATCTTAAATCAGTAACTATAGATTAAGGGTCAGTGTATTTTGCAGCCAACAGATTTTTGTTTTGGAATGAGAAAAACCAAAATCGTGTTACGAGCTGTTTCCCGACTACCATTTATAAATATGGAGAACAAAATGGGTAATTTCTTCATTTCCAGTTTTTTTCAAAACAAAAAAACAGAAAATGGGTTGTTTCCCAATTTAGGTTTTCCTATTTCTAAACAAAAACCAATTGATTGTAAAAAGTATTATATTAATTTTATTTACGTGTAATTGTATTAACTTGATAGTGACTCTTGTGTTCTCTGTATGTAGAGAAGGAACGCCATGTGAAAGCCAATGCACAGGAGTACAATGACAAGTTCTCTTATGCTGTAAGTAGAAATCAAAATGACATTCGGGTTGCTTTACCCGTATTGTAGGCTTTAGCACTTGATCAATTTCTAACTGTGTGGTTCTTCAGGACAACCGAATCAAAACCTCAAAGTACAACATCTTCACCTTCCTGCCCATCAACTTGTTTGAGCAGTTCCAGAGGGTGGCGAATGCTTACTTCTTAGTGTTGTTGATACTGCAGGTAGGAGATCGCTTTTATGAATGTAGTGTTTTATTTGGAAATTTTGTGAAACTGAGGGACCTGGTTTTTATTTTCATGTAGGTAATTCCAGAGATTTCCTCTCTGTCCTGGTTCACAACCATCGTGCCTTTAGTGTTGGTGTTGGTAATCACGGCTGTCAAGGACGCCACAGATGACTACGTGAGTTCAACTCTTTACAGCTCTTATGAATGCTTTAACATTTTTAATTTAATTAAATTTTTTTATTTCAGTTCCGACACAAGAGCGACCAGCAAGTCAACAACCGGCAGTCTCAGGTTCTCATCAGGGAAAGGTACTTAATTACTTCCCTCTGTCTTTCCCTTTTTAATGCAATGACATTTATGTAATTTAATCATGAGTTGTTTTGTTTTTTTCCAAGTTTGCAGAATGAGAAATGGATGAACGTTCGAGTGGGAGATATCATCAGACTAGAGAATAATCAATTTGTTGCTGTGAGTAAATTGTGCTTGTTCATTTTGTTTTAGCTTTCATTAGAAGATGTTCAAATTCTGTCTTTTGTGTTTGCATATAAGAGAGAGAATAGTCAGCAAAGGTTAACAATTAAAGATTTCTTTCTGGGAGACCCAGGGGCTGCTGAGTGCTCTTGCAAGATTGATTTATTGCCTTTTCTCACTTACTGAGGGTTTCATATTGGTTTTACACACAGGCAGACATCCTCCTTCTCTGTAGTAGTGAGCCCTATGGACTGTGCTATATTGAGACTGCAGAGCTAGATGGGTAAGTGCCGCACTATGCCAAGGTAAACTGCAACTGAGCAGAGTATCAAATGTGTGAGGAAGGAAACTGTGAAATTAAGATTCTTGTTGTTTTTGCAGAATTTTAAAGTGAATGTGATTTTTCTTGAAAAAATAAACAACAGTTTACCATAGAAGACTGCTTTTTTCTCATTTCTCCACAAACAGAGAGACAAACCTGAAAGTTCGTCAGGCTTTGACTGTCACCTCAGATTTAAAAGATATTACAAAACTGATGGACTTTGATGGTGAGATGATTTTTCCATTTGTGTTGCATATCACTTGTGGATCCCTAAGGTTTTCTGGACATGTTTACTTCAGAATGATTATTTGTGTTTTGTTGTCTGAATGGATGTCAAAGAATTTTTGGTAACGCATGTTCCCTTTTGCCTAAATGTGTGTTTCCTTTTGTATTTTACTGGTACACCAGTACAAACATGTACATGTTAAACTGGGAAGAATCACACTGTACGTTGTGGACCAAAATCCTTTCTCCTGCAGTGATGATTGATGCTGATGGGACTGCCTTTGTTTTGCTCCTCAGGAGAAGTCATTTGTGAACCACCAAACAACAAGCTGGATAAATTTACAGGAACTTTATACTGGAGAGACAATAAATACCCTCTGGATAATGAGAAAATGCTGCTGCGAGGTTGTGTACTCAGAAACACTGAATGGTGCTTTGGAATGGTTATCTTTGCTGGTATGATAATTTTTCATTTTGATGCTTTTATTCTCCACATCCATTAGTGTATTATACCTTTGTTTTCTCTGACCAGCTCAAAACTCTCTTGTTGTTAATGTTCTTTCAACAATTACAGACGTTTCGTCTCTCCAACAGGGTTGCAAACCAAACTGATGCAGAACTGCGGAAGGACTACGTTTAAAAGGACTAGTATTGACAAACTGATGAACACTTTAGTTTTATGGGTAAGCTTTTTTTAGATTTTAAGAACAGGAAGAACAAATTGTTCATATCGTATTCAACCTTTTTGTCCAGAAAAGAAATCCCGAAAGCAATATCACTATATGTAAAGCTAGTGGTCAGGTGTAAAAAACAAAACAAAAAAGGTTCTACTGATTCAATATCAGCCTTATAAAATGTACAAATATTACATTTGACCTTACACTTGTGGTAAATCCATTACATTAAAATGCACTCCTATCAAGTGCAGTTTGTACACACCCACACAGACCTGAGAAGAGGTATAATCACACATAATAAGTGAAAACATATGTGTACAGTGCATGCACCATGACTGTGTAGAATCTTTAAATAAAAGATGCCACATATTGTTTTATTTATTACACATAAATGGGTATAACAGACAAGTCTTTCAAAATAAACCTAAAATAATGATCTATATTTCAGATCTTTGCCTTCCTCATTTGTATGGGAGTTGTTTTGGCCATTGGAAACACTATCTGGGAGAGTTGGATTGGCAGAAACTTCCAGGTGTTTTTGCCAGGGGAGGAGTTTCAGAGCAATGCTGTTTTCTCTGGTTTCCTCACCTTCTGGTCCTACATCATCATCCTCAACACTGTTGTGCCCATCTCACTATATGTCAGGTAAGGACAAACCTGTTACACATATAGTCTACAATTTCTAAATGTACAAGTATTTCTTAGCATAATTTTTTTTTCTGTGGATGTTCTATGTTCCTGTTAAAATGATGTCCAATAAAATGTATGAATAAACCTTCCTTCAGTGTGGAGGTTCTGCGGCTCGGTCACAGTTACTTCATTAACTGGGACCGGAAGATGTTCTGCAGGCAGACGGACACTGCGGCGGAAGCTCGCACCACCACCTTGAATGAGGAGCTGGGCCAGGTGGAGTTCATCTTCTCCGATAAGACGGGCACCCTCACGCAGAACATCATGGTTTTCAGCAAATGCTCCATTAACGGACAGACATATGGTGTGGAGATTTTTGAATACTTTAATCCAATATATTAGTGTTCTAAAATCAGTCTCTTCCTAAAATTGGATTACCTATAAATTAAGAAATAATTCACACAAATATGACTGAATAAGTAAAGATCCAGTGTGTAACATTTAGGAGGATCTATTGGCAGAAATGGCTCTAGATAGGGCCTTTCGAGTTTTGAGTTTCGTGGCCATCACGGTTTCTCCTACACACTCCATCACCATTCTCATTTCCAGGTTATCAAA